AATAATAAATTATTACTAATAATTTATTATTATTAGTACTGTCATTATTATCATTACTAGAATTATAAAAGTAAATATTATTATTATTTCTTTAATTATTATTATTACTATGATTGTTACTGCAAGGGGTTTTATTAATTGGCGTTGATAATTTCTTAGCGCTCTCCCAGACAAAAAGAAGAAAGCGATAAAAAATAAAAGTTTGCGGGTTTATACACCGCATTAATTTTTTAATAAATTAAACGAAAAAAGCAAACAAAGAAAAGAATAAGGCGGGACAGAAGAAATCTTTTTAAGATATTCTTCAATTGCATAATAATATTATTTTATTATGAAACAAATTAGTGCTGCTGTTGCTGTTTTTGCTGCTGTTGCTGCTGCTGCAGCCGCTGCTGCTGCTGCTGCTGCTGTTGCTGTTGATATTTGCGTAGTTGTTTGAATATTCTTTTACTTTATTCTTTTTTTCTTTTACTTTCTTCTTTTCGTTGTTTGTCTAAGAGCTCCTTAGGCAACAAAGACAGCAAATCTTGCGCGTGTTGCGGTGTTGCTGCTGTTGTATAGACAGCTCGCAGCAAGAGAGACATCTGCGACTGAGAGAACTCATCTTTATTTTCATTAAAATAATTAAATACCAGAGGCCGTAAATCAACAAACTCTCCTAAACGTTCAATTGCAGAAGAAGAAGCTGCAGATACACCGCAACACACCACGCCCCCGAATCATCAGAAACACGCGATTATAAGACATTTTAAATGCTAATTAATCGAATAAATATATATATATATATATATATATTAATTAAAATATAAGCATGTGCACTAATTAATGAGTATAAATGCAAACCCACAAGGTTCAACGGAAGAAGAAATAAACGCTGCGCTGTACAGACGCCTCAAGTGCAGAGCCCCAACAACAAAAAATAAAAATTCGAACGGCCGCATCGATGGCGCACTCAACGCCAATCTGTTGCAAATCATATGCAGCACCGGAGCTCCCTGCACAGCAGCAGCAGCAGCAGCAGCAGCAACAGCAGCAGCAGGAATAGCAGCAGCAGCAGTAGCAGCAACAGCAGTAGGAACAGCAGCGCAAGAAGCGCTTTTATATGAGAAAAAGAAATCAAATAAACTAAATCAAGCAAACGAATAAAATATCTGTGGAAATGTTTAAATGAAGAAACAAACATATGTAGTAAATAAATAATAAAACAAATTAAACAAATTGAATACCTGTAGAAGTCTTTAAATAAACAAACAGACCAATTAAATAAACAAATAAAATAAATAAAAGAAATAAAATGAAACCAACGAAAATAAACGAAATTAAAATATATAAATAAAATGAATACCGATGGAAGTGTTTTAATAAACCAGCCAATCAGTTAAATAAATAAAATAAAATAAAATAAAAATAAACAAAATAAAAGTAAGATAAATAAAAATAAATAAAAATAAATACCTGTGGAAGTGTTTGGGTTAATCGCGCGAAATCGACGGGGCCAAATTTTTTTGCTGCTTTCAAAATCTGCGAAATCAAAAAAAAATTAAAATTAAATTAAATTAAATTAAATTAAAAATAAAATAAAATTAAAATAAAAAATATAATAATAAGATGAATGCAATAGAATAAAGTAGAGTAGAGTAATATATATATATATATATAACAATAATAATAAAATATAATAATAATAAAATATAATAATAATAAAACAACTCACAGGTCTTTCTAACAATCGCTCAACTCGTTCAAATTCTCCCAACTGTTTGAAGCACCACGCAATTTTAACTAAGAGTGAAGGAGGCAGCACTTCAGCTACACTCTGCTGTTTTGCTGCTGCACTTTCCTGCTGCTGCTGCTCTTGCTGCTCCTGTTGGTGCTGCTGCTGCTGCTGTAGCAGCCCGTCACTGCGGATTCGCTGCGCTAAGGCCCTGATGAATTCTGATGCCTCTACGGTATTCATTTGGCTGAGTTTCTCCGTATCCACCACCAAAGAAACTTGCTGCTGCTGCTGCTGCTCTTCTTGCTGCTGTTGTTGCTGCTGCTGCTCTTGACCTTGCTGCTCCTGCTGCTGCTGCTGTTGCAGCCGCTGCAGCTGTTGCTGTAGCTGTTGCTGCTGCTCCTCTGGCTTAGGGCTGTATCTCCCGGTGTGGAGGAAGTAGATGCACTCTTCTATTATTGCTCGGTGTTTAATGCCGCACTTTTGCAGCAAATGCAGAATCTGGAAAAGCTGCATAAAGGAGAAATTATCTAAAATGAGGTGTACATCCACCTGGCGAAGCAAAGGCGGCAGCATTGCACAATGCGGATTCTTAGAAACAAGCAAATGCAAATTCTCCTCATTCAATATCTCTTCCTTCTGCTTCCGCTGCTGCATCTGCTGCTCCTGCTGCTGCATCCGCTGCTGCTGCTGCTGCTCCTGCTGCTGTTGCCGCTGTTGCTGCTGGGGAAGGGCAGCACCACCATAGGTGGCTATTGAGCCGATGATGGATATGAGTTCATGTGGATGAAGTTTCTTCGTCATTTCTTCAATTTGAGTTCTTAACGATTGAACAAATTCTTCTATTTCTTCTTTTTCTTTTTCTTTAAACGCGTTCTCCACTGCTAGCGCTTTCGTGTAGCAGCGAACAACAGAAAACAAATTCAACAGAGAGAGACCAGAAATCAGCCCCCTCTCTTTCTGCAGCTTCTCCTTTAAGTCCAAAAATAAATCTGCCTCCACTCCACTACTCTCCCGCGAGAAAGCAGCAAAGAAACTACGTTCTTTCTTCGTGTTCGATGGTGAAGGAGGCTGCCCTGAATAGAAGAGCTCCATGAGCGAAACAACGGAAAGGACCTCTTCAGGTGTATGTGCATGCTTTAAGTTGCTACGAAGATGCTTTAAAAGCACTTTTTCTACTTCTTTCTCACGTAAACTCGGCGGCAAACGGCCGTAGGCTCCCCCAACCTCGCCAAGTTGAACGAGCGAAAAAGACGGAGCCATGTGGATAATTTGGTGTTCTAAATGCGGCAAAAATGTTTCTGACACAAAATTGGGCGGAATTGGCTTTTTAAAAACCCGAGACGAACGAGAAAGAGCCGAGTTTCTGTCGGTTTCCGATGCAGGAACCTTCCCGGCCTCCGGCACTTCCGCCACCGCATTTTGAGCATTTCTCGCCACATCTTTTGGGGATTCCGAGGATAAATGCGTAGACACCGATGCATTAGACGAAAATCCACGATTGTTGCAACGTGTTTCATGAAAAGCAACTCCTGAAACACCGAGATAGTGTCCGACCGTGCATGATGCGGGATGGAGTGTATGTACACCCGAACCCCGAGTTGTGCAGCATACACCTCTTGCAACGAATGACTTTCCTTTCGCAGTATTGAAGGGGAAAACAGGCTCAAGACCTCGAGAGGAGAGAACTCCACGGGGGGCCTTTGCAAAACATGAGAGAAATCTGGTGGCTTCCTTCTGCCGCCGCATGCTGTCGTACACCCGTGAGCTGTACAGGAACTTCTTCCTTAGGATTTAAATAAAAATCAAAAACAAATTCGGAAAACAATCGAGTAAAGGATTTATTAACACTTTCCTCTTTGTCATGGGGCTGCAGCCGCCCTCAGGACCCATCAGGTCTCGTGCATGCATCCGGTAGCAACGTAAAGAAATCACTTTTCTTTTTCTTTCGTTTTCTCTTGTTAGGTGAAGTGGCCTCTGCATGCGCACTTCGCAAAGAATGGGGAGGCATTAAAGGGAGTTTTCGTCTGCAACTTTCAATGCCAAATGCCGCAGCCCCCCGTACACCGAAGCCACGCCATCCTAAACCCTAAACCCTAAACCCTAAACCCTCAAAATGGGTGGCGAAAGCCCAGGAGAGGCGCGGCCTGGGGATCCTCCTTCTCAGCAGCAGCGGCAGCAGCAGCAGCAGCAGCAGCAGCAGCAGCAGCAGCA